AATGAAGAGAAAAAACCCTCCACTTTATTGAATTCTTTGTCTTATACTTCTGGCTTGCTATCTTGCAAAGTTTTTTTTTTTCTGCTATGATGTGTTCCTGTTTGTTTTGCTTCTTAAGTTAATAGCGCTTTTTTTTTAAAAAAAAAAATCCAGGCTACGTCCTAACGATATTTCTTATTAGCTCGATACTTGTGCTTCGCTACAGAACCATGTGGTCGGGGAAGTAAATAAGGGGAAAAATTTCTGCCTCTGCAAATGAAAAAATTCAGCATCCATCAGTATTCATCTGGCAAGCGTCCTGTCGGTGTGTGAGAGAGTTGAGGGCTGTTTGGAAACTGAAGCAGTATTTGCTGTGTTAGCAAGGAGACAGCAAGGAGCCTGGGCGTGGCTTAGCTCAACTGTTCTGTAGTAAAGCTGCTTGGTGCTGTGAAACTAAAACTCCTCTCCTCTGCTTGTGTTTTGCATTTGGAACCAATTTCTTTCCAGGTGGGGAGGGGGAGCAGAACTCCTTAGCATCCGAGCGTGTTAGTAATAATAATAATAATATAGGAAATACTCTAAATGCTCTGATGGTCATTTCGAAAAATCCTTTCTGAGCACCTAGAGGCAAGAGGAACATACGTGCCAAATTTCAAGTTTGTAGGCTTTATGGTCCTGGAGATTTTGTGATGATGCATGAGGGGTATTTCACTTTTATATAGATTTCTGACTTTGCAGGATCGAGGGCCAGAAGAAATGAAACGAAAGAGAGATCCTGTCAGTCTAGGCAAGCAACTGTAGACCAGTTCAGTATTTTTTTTTTTAAAAAAAGATCTGTACTAGGGTGAGGGAAAAAATAGAGATGCTGCCATATCAAAGTCAAGTTTGCTTAGCTATTATGACCAGGCACAAGACGTAATTGCAGGATTACTTGGAAAGGGTCCTTAAGACCACTAAATGCTATTAAAACAACCCAGTGAAGGTTTCTTCCACTTGAATACATCCAGTGAAGGTAGAAATAGCCCTCAACCTGCAGCTATAAGTCATCAGATGGGCTGGTTTTGCCAAAAACCGGAAGCAAATGCCAGTTTTCAATAAAATAATAATAACAATAAAACATGGTCACCAGACTGTGGGATGCTGCAAATGGCTGTACATGCGTCATTGAGTTAGTAACACGGATGTTAAGTGAATCTGGCTTGTCTGAAGGTCGCAAAACATTATTGCATGACCCTGCAACCGTCATAAATACGAGTCAGTTGCCATGCCTGACTCAAATTGTGAACACCGGGATACCACAAACAGTCTTAAGCTGCTTTCTTCAGCGCCTTGTAACTTCAGACAGTCAATACACAAACTGCTGTAAGTCGAGGACGCTGTACTATCACTTGTGCATATATATATATATTTTGGTCTTTTGCAAATTCCTAATTACAGACCGTTTGGTTTTATTGCAACCAGTTTCCAGTTCTTAGCAGTCTTTTCTTGCACGGCTGTAGGAAGTTAGCCTTGCGTCAGAGAAACAAAACAAAACCCGTTGCAACTTTGGTTCCAAGTAATAACAGGAATCGCTGTGTGTGATTAGTTATGACTTCTCAGAAAGAAAAAAGAGAGAGAAAGGGGTCCTTTTAAACTCAACAGATGGAAGCCATTATCAACTAGCCGAAACAGAGCACGCTGATATACCATTACCAATGCCCATAATGACCTGCAGGGATTGTTATCGACCTGCCTAGAATTCCACCTTACGTTCTCCGAGGAAATCGGTTTGTGGTTTCGCGTTGTTCCTCGGCTGCAAATTTCACAGAGATTCCGTCTCCTCCGCTCCAGGGAAAATGTTTTTGATTTCCCGACGATTCTGCTCTGTGTATCTCGGTCCTCTCTCTTACACACACACAACCCCAAGAGGAATCTGGGAGTAAGATGCAGGTCGTTGAAGATCCAGCGTGAAGGATTGCCAGTAACTTTCAAAAGTACCGAAGGCAAACTATACATGTCCCGGGATAACGTTGCAGGATCCAATCTGAGCCGGTCATTGGGACTGGAGGTTTATTCTTTGGGCTCATGCAGGAGTCCATCCTCGGGGATCTTCCCTCTCTCCAGAATATATATACACTGGCCTGTTCTATGCATTATATTTACATGGTTTCTGCTTGTGAATAGCTTTAAGTTATTAAATGTAACGGTAAAGGTTCCCCTCACACATTCGTGCCAGTCGTTCCCGGCTCTAGGGGATGGTGCTCATCTCCGTTACAAAGCCGAAGAAGAGCCAGCGCTGTCCGAAGACGTCTCCGTGGTCATGTGTCCAGCACATGACTAAATGGCAAAAGGCGCATGGAACGCTGTTCCCTTCCCATCAAATTGGTCCCTATTTTTCTACTTGCATTTTTTACATGCTTTCGAAGTGTTAGGTTGGCAGAAGCTGGAATAATTAACGGGAGCTCACTCCGTTACGTGGCGCTAGGGATTCGAACCGCCGAACTGCCGACCTTTCTGATCGACAAGGCTCAGCGTCTTAGCCACGGAGCTACCACGTCCCCTTAAGTTAAGTAGGGTGTTGATGTCTGGATATTAAGTCGATAGTTGTTGGTTCCTTGGCTCCAGCTTCTAGGTATTAGGGCCTTCAGAAAGTATTCAGGTCACTTTTGTCAAGTTTGTTATGCTGCAGCCCAATTCTACAGTTGTTGAAATTTCATTTTTCTTCTCATTAATCTGCATTCAGTATCACCCCGTCAGGACAAAAGGAGAACCCGAATGTTAGAAATGTCTGTGCATTTATTAAAAAGAAAATGCTTTCTGAATGCACTGTACCTGGTAGGCCGGTGATAAATCGGCACTCGTACTGACTGACAAGGGCCCCGTTTCCCAGGCTATTTTTGTCCCTGCTCGGCCGACAATCATGGTAGCAATAGCACTTAGACTTATATACTGCTTCCCAGTGCTTTTACAGCCCTCTCTAAGCAGTTTACAGAGTCAGCATGTTATACCCACCTCGGAAGGATGGAAGGTTGAGTCAACCTTGAGCCAGTCTGGATTAAACTGCTGACAGTGGGCAGAATTAACCTGCAATACTGCATTCTAACCACTATGCTACCACAGCTCGCTCCTTCCTTCCTTCCTTCCTTCCTTCCTTTCTCCCTCCCTCCTTCCCTCCCTCCCTCCCAATAGCCCTTAGACTTACATACCACCTCACAGCATTTTACAACCCTCTCTAAGTGGTTTACATTGTCAGCCTCTTGCCCCACAACAATCTGGATCCTCCTTTTACCAACTTCGGAAGGATGGAAGGCTGAGTCAACCTTGAGCCTGGTGAGATGAGATCTGCCAAACTGCTAGCGGTCAGCAGAAGTAGCCTGCAGTACTGCACTCTAACCACTACGCCAGGGCGGCTCAGCACCGCAGCTCGACAATCATGGTAGCTGTAAAATTGAACCCATGCCCTTGCTCGTTGCCCTATGAAAACTCCCCATCTACTCGCTCACGTTCTCATAATCTGGTGCCTGATTTCCTCCCTAACTGTCCTGCATAGTCGCAAGGACAAGCCCTACAGGGAATCTGCTAAATCGCACTCAAAAGTTAATTCCAGCTGCCAGTAGAACTATCTAATGAGAGTCCATGCTTGTTTATATTTCTGATCCAGGGATACTTCAGTTCAAACCAATAATTGGTTCAAATAAAGATCAACAGGGTTAAAGTGAGCCTGCAGCTTCTTACTTTCGTACGGCCTTCAGCTGCCCAAGTTGGCACCCAATGTGGCCACAATAGGCAAAGAATGACTGAACTTATGAATGGAGAATGCTTCTGGTCTAGAAATCCCACAGCGATGTGATGGTAGAAAAGTACAGGTGGTCCCTCATTTAACAACCACTTGTTCAGTGACCATTTAAACTTGTGACGGCGTTCTGCGAGTGGTCCTTATGAGCAATTCTCAAAGTTCCAAAGGGCCCCCGCAGTCACACCATTGCGATCTGGCTGCTCAACAACAAAACCTGGATTTCTACTCCTGATCGCAATTTGCGATCTTCCCTGCTGGCTTCCCTCAAAGTCACTGGGGAAGCAGGCAGGAAGTCAGTCATGATCAGGTGAGTTCTTTAACGACCCACAATAATCAGCTTAACAGGGGGCTACTGTTAAACTGCTGTTGCTGTATGGCATGGCCACGTGATGTCATGCTTAAAACCGCATCGCTTAGCCATGGACGTTCCAATAGAGGAGAATATCTGTAGCTCAGGGTTGAGATGAGGTACTTCTGTGAGCGGTTGGTTTTCTTGTAGATGTTTTGTTACCCAACTAGGTAACATCGTGAGCACTAGAAGGGAAGTGGGATTTGCAGGGAGGAGGAGGAGGAGGAGAAAGAGGAGGAGGAAGAGGAGGAGGAGGAGGAGAGGAGGAGGAAGAGGAGGAGGAAGAGGAGGAGGAGGAGGAGGAGGAAGAGGAGGAGGAGGAGGAAGAAGAGGAGGTGGTTTGTAGGGTCCTTGATGCTCTCTCTGAGCATGGTGGTTTTCTTGCAGACATTTTGTTACCCAACTAGGTAACATCATCAGTGCTTGGGGGGAGGAGGAGGAGAAGGAAGAGGAGGGGGAAGAGGACAACGACTATAGAGTCCTTGGTGCTCTCTGATCATGGTGGTTTTCTTGTAGACATTGCATTACCCAACTAGGTAACATCATCAGTGCTAGAAGGGAGTGGTGTTTGCAGAGAAGAGGAGAAGGAGGAGGAGGACGATGGGGTCCTTCATCCTCTCTCTGAGCTTGGTGGTTTTCTTGCAGACGTTTCGTTACCCAAGCTAGGTAAAATCCATCAGTGCTCTGATAACGGTGCTCAGCACTGAGGATGTTACCTGGTTTAGGTAATGAAACGCCTGTAACAAAACCACCAAGCTCAGAGACAGCACCAAGGACCCCTCAGTGGACATTCCAATCTCAATTATCGTCATTAAGCAGGACTTCCTGTAACAGCCTCCTCCCTCTCAGCCTCCACTCTTCCAATACAGAAGGCTAATCTGCTTAGAACGAACATACCTGTGCAATATTTTTGTTCAGAAGGAAGACGCCATAATCAAACTGTAGTTTCTCTCCTCCTTTTAAGTAGAGTGGAAATCTGAAACAGAAAGAAAGGACAGGGTGAATAAACCATACTTTTTTTTGCCCTCATCCCCTCCAATAAGGAAACCCACAGGTGCACCGTTTCCAGAAGCCTGAAAAAGAAACGACTTTATCTATGTATATATTTATGCCTGCAGGTATGTGTAGATTTCCTCCTGCACAGTTTGCAGGTAGCAATCAGTCTAGCCAGCAAAACTGTGGCCTATTACAACGGGTAGAATCTTTGTGGGACGTAAATGTTCTACAGACATTGTTTACCAACAATGTCAGTAAGCAATATACAATGGTACTTTGGTATTCAACAGCTTTGAAACTCCTCAAAATTGGTACCCATTGCATTTTGATGCGAAAATTGTGTCCCAGTACTCATAATTTGTTTGGTACTCAACACACACGCTAGAACTTGCCAGTGTTGGCTGCCTTGTGACTCACTGCAGTATTTCTTATGGGAAAATTTTTTTTTGTTACTCAGCGTTTTTTGGTGTTCATTGTGCCTCCCGGGAATCAATTAGCAATAAGTACCAAGGTATCATTGTATTTATAGCTAAGCCAATATCCATCATTTCAAATAAAAGCCATCAACGAGATATGCTTTATACATACATCAATTGTAGACTGTGTTGTTTCTCTGTGTCATGTATGTGGGTATATGAACAATTTTGTTATTTATTTAGTCATGTTTATGCAATGTATATTGGAGGTGGTGACCCTTTGAGGGCTGTATGCAATGAAGTTTCCTTTTAATGTATGCCGATTAGTGTACATTCAAAGTGACAATAAAGTTAGTCTAAGTCTAGAATAGTTAAAACTATGGAACTGCCCAGCAATTGCCTTGGGGTAACACGGGCAGCTAATAAATTTTACAAATAAATGAATAAAAGAACAGTAACCAAGTCAGGATTTCAGTTGTACAATACTTCAAACTCTTGACGGGTTGCCTCAAGTTGAGGAACACAAAATCACTCTGTTACATATCCAAGCCAGCCTTAACTAGCAAATCTTTAACTGCGGAGTAGAAAGGTAAAAATACATTTTAAATAGACGTAAGTGTGGGAAAACGCCACCATCAATTTAGGGATGTAAAACAGTGGTCCCCGACTTTCGTGGCTTGGTGACCTGGCGGGGGGTTGAAAGGGGAGCTGCCCTTGTATGTGCAAGAGTGCCGGCCTGCCACTCTGGCAAATTGAGCTGCCTGTCATATCATCGTCTTCGTTTAATGACCCCATAATCCCTTACAGGGTGGAGTTTGGGCAACTGGGATGGAGCTGGGCGTTTCCTGGCCGGATGCCCTTCTTGTCGCCAGTGCAGAATGTTGTTCAGCAGATATATTCTCATGGTGCACACAGAGAAGAAATTTTTACCTCTACCTAGGATCGAACTCACAGCCTCCTGCTCCATCTCTAGGCCACTGCACCTATGCCTGCGTGACCTATAATGGAGCAAAATTCATTTAACAACTGTCTCGCTTAGCAACAGAAATGTTGGGCTCAACTGGGGTTGTATGTTGAGGACTACCTGAACAATAAAACGCAGCATCCAGTACTTGGGCGATGATCAACATCTTGGCTAAACTATCCAACTCGGAATCAGAAAAGAAGCGGAAATATTGGACCGAGTTCCTAACATCTTGTGTCTCCTCTTAAAAATGATGCATTTTTGTCCAAAAAGGTTCTCAGGCTGAAATATTAGAAACAGAACACATGAAAGCTTAGATCACTACAGAACTATGTAGTGAAGTCACTAGAACTAAGCTGCCTCGGTTTGATGCATATGAGAATATTCTCATTTTGTGGATAACAACACCCTGTTGGCAAAAACAGTGATTTATTACACCTCAGTAGACCTTAAGCTTAAAAATACAAGAAATTCTGCCCAATTTCTTTTGGCTTTTCTATTAAGCAATCAGCTAAGGATTTTTTCCACAATCCTTCTTGAGAGCCCTCCTAGTCATAACTGCGGGAGAAAAATAATAACATTTGGAACCAAACGGTTTCTTTTCACCTATTCATCTCTTTTTTGATTGTGTAACCCCTCTCCTTAAACAAACACTTCCAAAACGCATTCTCCCTTGGCTTGGGAGCTTACGTTGTTACTCAGTGCAACTCAGTGATGGCGCAGAGGTTAAACTGCAGCACTGCAGGCAAACTCTGCCCACTGCCAGCAGTTTGATCCTAACCAGCTCAAAGTTGACTTACCCTTCTGAGGCAGGTAAGATGAGGAATCAGATTGTTGGGGGCAAGATGCTGACTTTGTAAACTGCTTAGGGGGCTGTAAAGCACTGTGAAGCAAGTCTATAAGGAAGGAAGGAAGGAAGGAAGGAAGGAAGGAAGGAAGGAAGGAAG